GCTATCGGAAAAGATTTTGCATGTTCAATGATGACGTACAGGTAGTTTTCTTTAGAGTAATTTGCCTAAATAGGACTAAAACATAATGACTTTCCCAATATAGAACCATATGTTTTTATTTCCCAATGTAGGACCTTTGGTCATTATCATGTAGTCATTATTCAACTAAATGTCCATCATTACTGGACATTAATTCTCCCACAAGGTCATTATTAAGTCCTATTTAGGGAATAAAAAAGTTTAAGTCCTACATTAGGAAAGTCATTATGTTTTAGTCCTATTTAGTGCAAATTTCACTTTTCTTTATGTTTGAACTTCTGTCTTTAGCTTACTGTTAAATTTGGGCATTCCCCCAAAAGAATCATCAAGAGTTGAAGTTTACTTCACACATATACCAGTCTAAACTCAGTAAACAACCAGTGATGGATACCTAACACATACCTTCAGGCCAAACCAAGCTGGACACTGTGCTCAAACACACCCCAAAACAGGCTGCCATACCATCTGAGGTGTCGCCCAAACCAAGCTCTCTTTCGTAGCATGTTAAATTTGGTCTAACTAGCTTCAAAAGGATTTTCAATTGGTAAGGTTTACCTCACACTTTTTGACTAAACTCAAACCCGGTAGATGATACTCAACCCATATACACACAGTTTATTGGCCTCTTTGCAAGCATCTCATGTTGTGATATTTTTTTATTTCAATGTTCTCTTTTTTTGCAGGGAACTGCGGGTGTTGCTCTCGCTGGTCTTTTAGGAACTGTCAGAGCCCAGGGACGCCCTTTGACTGATTTTGCCAACCAAAAGATAGTTGTGGTAGGAGCAGGAAGGTAGTTCGAACATTCTACTATTAATTAGTAATTACAATTTCATTCCACATTTTTTATGTTTTCATTGAGCTGTTACAAATTCTCCTGGCATATTTTTTTGTTATATTTCAGTGCCGGGCTTGGCGTTCTTAACATGGCAATGCAGGCTGTTTCAAGAATGTCTGGACCAATGGCAAAACCTCACTTTTTCCTTTTGGATAAAAATGTAAGAACAAGTTTTACATAAATATATTACAAGTATACTCTGTATTTGTTAATCTACAGTGTGATCAGCCTAGAAGAGCACACATAAATTCTTTTTTTTCTTCATTGTGTACTAAATACAAATTCGCATCTACTTGTGCAGAATAAGTAATACTCCGTAGGAAATTATAATTTATTAGGAATAGGAATCATATTAAACTTCAAAGTGCCCTCCACCCCCACTTTTTTCAGTTGATATATATTTCCTGATTATTTGAGGTTTATGGGTTATGATGTAGGGACTTATCACAAAAGGTCGGAAGGATATTGATCCAGCAGCACTGCCTTTTGCCAAAGATCAGCATGAGATCGAGGGACTAGGACTTCACGAGGGTGCAAGCCTTATTGATGTGGTAACTTTAGTGGAATAATCAGGGGCTGTTTTAAAAGTGAACTTTTTTTTACCATGAAAATATATACTTTTATCATTTGAAAAATAACACAGAGTATAAAATGTTGTTCAGGTTAAAAAGGTCAAGCCCCACGTGCTTCTTGGTTTGTCCGCTGTTGGAGGTCTCTTCAATGAAGAGGTGTGTCTTCATTACTATCATGCCTTCTTGCACCATCCACTGACCACTGCTCTTGGTTTTCCCCTTTTTTGTTGGATGTGTCCCAAAAAATGTTTGGTTGGTATCAGCTGCTGCACTCTAACCAAATTCTCACTATTTGTTACATATACATATAGGTGCTTAAGGCAATGCGGGATTCAGATTCCTCTAAACCGGCCATATTTGCCATGTCAAACCCCACAAACAATGGTTGGTCTTGATTCTTGAAGCCTTTTAATGTCATATATTCATTGTTTCAATACTTAACATTTTGTATGTTTACATTTGTGGGATTTGGAACAGCTGAATGCACTGCTGCTGATGCTTTTAAGCATGCTGGTCCTAATATTGTGTTCGGTAGTGGGAGTCCCTTCGACAATGTTGACCTTGGTAGGATTATTTTTCTATTCTTTAATCTCTCTCATGTCCTATTTAATTTTGTTCACTTAGTAACTACTGCAATTTTTTTGGTGGCCAGGCAACGGAAAAACAGGTTTTGTGAATCAAGCCAATAATATGTACCTGTTCCCGGGGTATGCTGCTGATCTTAATACCATTTTACCAAATTCTTAAATGGAGCCCAAAATCATTTTTGTGGATTTCAGGATTGGTTTGGGAGCTCTCCTTTCTGGTGCCCGAATAATTTCTGACACAATGTTGGAAGCTGCTGCTGAGCGGTATGGATTGACATCTATTCCCTTTGTCCCAAAAAAGAGTCTAACTTCAAAACTTTTTGACAAAAGAAAAAAAGAAGAGCTAATTTTCATTATATTTATTTTTCCGAAGTGTTCCAAATAAATGAAATATGTAACATGACTTGTTTTTGTAGATGGAGACGCAGTATTTGTTACTGGTCCCTCGTTTATGAGGCATAATCCTCCTTAGATACTCTAAAATTACTTGTTCCATTGTTGCAGCCTTGCTTCTTATATGTCAGATGAGGAAGTCAAACAAGGACTTTTATACCCGTCCATTAACAAGTAATCATCCCATATTTTCCTGATTCATTCAGTCCCAAAATCTGCTCTGGAAATGCAAAACACTGCAAATTTATGAGGCCAAAACTGAGTTTCTTACATATAATGTTTTGTCGTAGCATTCGAGACATAACAGCAGAAGTTGGAGCTGCAGTTCTGCGGGCAGCTGTTGCTGAAGAACTGGCAGAAGGACACGGCGAAATGGGGCCCAAAGAACTACAGCACATGTCAAAGGTAATTATAAGCGCACACGCACTGCTTCCGTTTGTGTTGGTAACTAGATTTTAAAAAAAAGGTGACTTATTTTGCATTTTCGCATGGCGTGTCTGAATGCAGGATGAGACTGTTGAACATGTGAGGCGGAACATGTGGGCCCCGGTTTACAGCCCTCTCGTCCACGAGACCTGAAGTTTCGTGGGTCTCGCCTACAGTTAGCCTTGCCACCATGGCTATAAGTCTATAACTACAGAAATTGGTTTTCATGAACCTTTATCTAGTTTTGTTTTCATTTTTGTTTGGCCTCTTTATGAAGCTAGTTTTGTTCTCTACAGTACACGAATATGCCATATAAGCTTTAATTTCCTTGATTCTTTACTCATCATCATAAACATAAAACCTCATCTATATAAGTGTTGTACCAAACAGCCAGCATTCATAATTTGATTATTGGAGTGGAAATTTTTTAAAACCATTTAACACACTATGATTGTTTTGGAGGCCGACATATATGCTGTCCCAAATATACATGTGCATTCCCATTCTAGAAGACGGTTACACTTACACTTTGATTGCACAAAAACATCAGAACCGGTCGGACAGTCACCCATAGCATAGTTGCCAGAGGCCGAATTCGGGTTTATCCCCTTTGGCATGCCTTGCTCAACCAAATGAGCTACGTCCACTTTGATTTCACGAAATATATGAAAAGTGTTAGAATATGTACTAGATGGTTATTTCAGTTTGACTTTTTTAAGTTAAATTGGACGAACCTCAAACCTCAATTAAATAAAGAGTAGTAAATTTTGTCATGTACTCCGGGGTATATTAGTATAAAAATATTTTTATTTTATTTAACTTATATAGAATTTTTAATTTTTTATACAGATTGATAATTTTTAAAATTTTATTGTATTGCATAAATATGTAATACAACTTGAGAGTAATTGATGTCTAAAATTTATCTAATGTAATTCAAAAAAATTAAACTAAATAAATATACAAAGAGATTAAGAGAGTATGAATCAAATAAGACCAAATCAAAACAAATTAGCTTAGATCATAACAAACCACATCATAGGGCTGCTTGTAATGCTCGCCTTTCTCTCTCTCGTGATCCTCCGTGGCAATGCCATGTACGCGTGCTTCACGGAGGAACACCACCCCAAAGCTCCATGGTCCATTTCCGTTAACAAGAAAAATTCAAAAAAAATTAATCCAAAATGAAAAAAATTAATAACAATATGAAATAAAATAAACCCAAAATGTTTTTATTAATTAACAACAACAACAACTCAGTTAAATCCCACAAGAGTAGGGTCTGGGGAGGGTGTGTGTACGCAGACCTTGCCCCTACTCGAAAGTAGAGAGGCTGTTTCCAAAAAGACCCCCGGCTCCACGTCAAAAGTTGCATTGCTTGACTAACTGCTACTTCATTAATTAAAGAAGCGCAGACAGTTTAGAGATCCATTTTGATTTATTCTATCACACCAAAAGCCAAAAAATGGTGAAATTTTGGCTCCATCGGAGATGGTGGAAATATTTAATTATAATAAACCCAAAATGTTTTTATTAATTAACATTACTCTATTTTATTATAATAAAAAATATTTAATTTGAATAGAAATATTTAATTATTTATACCCCGGAGTAAAAAAAAATAAAAGTGCAATCATTGTAGTGGTCGTCGGAGATTACAAGTGCGAAGTAAGTAAGATGGTGAGTACAATCAGTACTGATGTGACGATATGTGACTGTTGATTTAGAATGAGCGGTGGTGAAGCAGTACACAGCCCTACACGAAGACATACTACATCCGTTCTCGAGTATTTGTCCAGTTTTGATTTTTTTCAGTTAACTATTTTTAACCTTTGACCTATAATTAAATAAAACCTCGTGAATATTGTATATTAATATTGTATATTAATTAGATAAAATAATATTTTAAAAATATTTTATATAATAAATTTAATAAAATTATTTTCGTATCAATATCTAATATCATTTTTATTTAATTCAAGGTTAAAGTTTATCAGTTTTGATTGAAAAAGTAAAAAAAGGACAGATAATCAAGGATGCGTACTTATAACATACATCCGGATGTGCGGTGTTTTTTGTACATCTGTATGAGTACTCATTATTGAGTAACTGAATACTCATTTACGAGTATATGAGAAACACCGTACAACTGGTTGTACAATATATATGGGAGAGAGTAAAATATTAGATGGAGAACATGTTCTAAACACGTGTGACTCAGTCATATGACTCTAGGAGAGTCGAGCTGCAAAACAGGACGATGGCTGGTGGAGAAGTGGAGAAGTCAACATTCTTCGTCGCTGTCCACGTAGGCGCCGGATACCACGCGCCGTCGAATGAGAAAGCTCTCCGATCCGCCATGAAACGCGCATGCCTCGCCGCCGCCTCCATCCTCCGGAAGGTCTCTCTCCCCAACTCTCTGAACTGAAAAATTGAATCTTGGCCCCCACTCCCTCTTTCTTTCTCTGTACGTGTTTTCTGTGCTGAATTCTACTTTCGTGCCTGTTCTTCTTCCTTTTAATTTTAGGGTCCCGGTGGATGTATAGACGCTGTCACGGCAGCGGTTCAAGTGTTGGAGGTAATTAACTAATTATGTGAGTTATTGGTTCGTATGATTCGCAATTTTTAGGCATATTCCATTGTTGTGTTGATGATTTAGGATGATGGTCTCATTCAAAATAATGTGATTGGCTAAGTAATTGGGGGAGAGGAAAATTTGTTAGTGGTTGAAAGGAAAATTTGTCCTAGATTACGTATATATTGTTTGGTATTTTATTCAGCACTTCAATTTTCAACACCTCAAGATGACAATATAGCTTAGCATTATTTGAATTTGTGTAGCAATTTGAACGCTTAGCAGCTGTGTTTGAAACTCGTAATCTAACAAAAATTGAATGTAAAGTTACAAGCTTTTAGCGTTTGATGGGATCATATGGGACAATTTATCTGTGAAAGGTATTATAAGGGATTGTTATTATTATTGTGTAATCAAAGAAAGGCTTTGTTATGTTATAAAGGATAGTGATTTATTTCTCTTTGCAAGTGGAATCCCTAAAGATTTGATTATTAAGTGAGCTACTCTTTCAGGACGATCCAAATACAAATGCCGGGCGAGGTTCAAATTTGACTGAGGATGGTTATGTGGAATGTGATGCAAGTATTATGGATGGTGGTTCCGGAGCATTTGGTGCTGTGGGGGCAGTGCGAGGTATGCTCATGCCAATATTTTACTTTATTCAGCCTTTTATTTATTTATTTATTTATTTTTTATTTATAAAATATTGCAATTGATGTTCTTTCCTTTCGAACATTGTATTTCACTTGTAATCACTATACATCTTTTGTGAAGTTAATTTTGGCCAGGTGTTAGAAATGCCATCCAGATTGCTGCATTATTAGCAAAGGACCAGCTTTCTGGTTCAACACGGCTAGGACGTATATCCCCTATGTATGGTTACCCTTTCTACGAAATCTTGTTGCATTCTTCATCAAATGAATTAGCCTCATCTTGGTGTTGAGTATCATACATTGGTTTTCTTTGAGTAATGTATAAATGTGACCTCATATTTTGAGGATCCTTTTGAGGTAAGACCCAATATAAAATGATATCAGAGTCTGGTCCGATGGTGATTTCTTGGATGTCTACCCACTCAATGGTTTGGGGGTTAATTTCGCCTATTTGTCCATTGGTTGTCTACTTGGTTTGAGTCCAACATATAAGTATGAGGTGAATCCCTCCTTTTAAGAAATAAGAGTGCATTTCGAGTGACTCAAGCTCTATCTAACATGTCTGAGTGTGTTCTGATGATGCTGACATACTGTTGTGTAGGTTTTTGGTGGGTGAAGGTGCACGAGTATGGGCAAAATCTAGAGGTGTTGTTCTTCCTGAATCAATAAAAGAAGCCGAAGAGGTTTAATTATTCTTTCCACTCTCTCACCCTCTCACATACACACAGATGGAGCGAGAGCGAAGGGTTAAAGTTACCACAATTTCTTATATATCAATTCTTAAAAGACTCGTATCTTTCATTGGGCTTATTTTCCTGCAAAATCCACCATATGATTGAAAGTTAATTACTCATAGAATAGATCATACTCCTGAAGTTTCAAAAGAATCCAAGATCGTTTCATATTAAATCAATCAACTCGTATTTCAACATGTTTTAATCGTATATATTACATAACCTATCGAATGAAGTGCAAAATGATTTTGGCTTCTTGTGAAATTTTAGAATGATACATGAGTAATTAACGTTGATTTTGCCTGTAAGTACTCCCAATGAAGGATATATTCAGTGGGTTTTGCATGAAAATAATCCCAATGGAAGATACGAGTGTTATAATATTTGATGTATAAAAGTTGGTTGTAACTTTAACCCTGAAATATGTATCGTAGAGTTCTGCTACTTACATGCTTACTTGGTTGTTTCTTAACATAGACTCATAGAGAATGTTACTTCATTTGTTTCAAGATATCCGTAACTTTTTTGTTAATCTTCTCTTCAAAGTTTGCACTTTTCAAGTTTTTTATGTTAGACCTCATTTATTGTTATTGAATATCATTCATGGGCGAAAAAGGTTATCTATTTCAATATAAAGGGGACTGTGGTCATTTTATAGACATAATTCTACATATTAAAGGGGTTTTATAATGTATGTGATCCAACCTTAAACAAAAAAAATCAAATGGAAGGGTAATAGTGTTCCTTATTATATTGTTGAGACAGATGCTTGTGACTGAGAGGACCAGAAACCTGTGGAGAAAATACCGAGGGATGCTTGATGGTGCTAAAGCTGTTAATGATGTTTCTTTCACACCAAGCACTTACAATCCTATAGGAACTTGTGCAGTTTTAGGTATAAATCTGGGTACATTAATTCCACTTTTATGATGTACCGATGAATTTGAATATGTGTTAATGCATTTTTTGCTGTATCTATAGAGGCTCAATTGCAAGATGAGTTAAATGGAAGCACAAGTAGTGACCAATTTTCCTTGCAAAAGACCCCAGATGAGGACTGTGTTAGTGACACTGTTGGAGTAATTTGTGTTGATTCAGAAGGTCACATTGCATGTGGGGCCTCAAGCGGCGGTATCGCCCTGAAGGTCACAATTCTTTGTTCTACTTCTAGTTGCCCTATGGGTCATAGTCTTATCATTGTTCTATTATGTTTAAGGGTTTTGCTAAGCACAACCCTAAGGGCCGTGTTTAAGGAAACAACGGGAGCTTCCCATTGTGTCCGATATTTTTTTAAGTGTAAATTTTACATCACATTTCATTACGTCTTTTCCCAACTGCATTTTATTTATTTCCTCAGCTTTTATGTCTAGCAAGGAGAAGGTGTAAGTACTGTGAAAAAGTTTATTACTCCCTCCGTCCCATTTTAAATGCCTGTTTTCCTTTTTTGTCCGTCCCAAAATAAGTTGCTTGTTTCTTATTATAGTAAACCTTTAAAAGGCAAAATACCTAAACTGCCCCTAACATAAGCCACTCCTCTCCACTTTATCTTCTCATTCATTGTCACCCCCCTAAGAAACTAAGGACATTTTTGGAAAATCAACATTATTTTTTCCCTTCATTAAATATGCCCCTAATTCAAAACGGGCGATATAAAATGGGACGGAGGGAGTACATGTTTGGATTACTGTTTCTTTGAATGTAGTTAAATGCACAACAGGTCAGTGGACGTGTTGGTTTAGCAGCAGCATATGGTTCTGGATGTTGGGCATCCTCGAAGGGACAGTTTGGAGCCCCATTTATAGTCGGTTGTTGTGTTAGTGGTGCTGGAGAGTATCTCATGAAAGAATTTGCTGCTAGGGAATGTTGTATATCCTCATCTGTGTAAGTTTTACTCCGTACATCGTAATGATAAACTTTTGGGAGAAAGACCAAAGTAGGACTAAAACATTCAAAATATACCAAAATAGGACTTCCATGTTTTTATTCCCGAAATAGGACTTACATTACCAAACATGGTCATATACATTACCAAAAAAGTATAGTAATGTGCACATGTACACTGCCACATTACCACAGTGCAAAGTCTTATTTCGGGAAAAAAACATGAAAGTCCTATTTTGGTACTTTTGCTATGTTTTAGTCCTATTTAGAGTGATTTCTATAAACTATTGTTGGATTTTTAATTGATTCTCCTTGTTTTTGGTAGATCTCAAGCTGGACCGGCATCTGCATGCACAAAAGTTCTACGCTCTGTCACTCTAGAAAACGGTAGTAACTATGGCTCTGACAGAAGCGGTGGAATATTACTAGTTCAAGCAGAGGCTTCTCGAATGGTGAGACAATATCCAAAACTTATGGCCCGTTTGGTAGGCGTTATTTTGCTGAAATGATGAAATCTGAATCCACTGAATTTTCTGAAAGAAAAAGTGTTTGGTGTAACCCATTTTACCAAAGTCGATTGCTACATATTCGGCTCATAACCAGAATAATTCAGAAAAAAAACTACCAAACGGAGCTTTAATCTTCCTTCACACAAAAAGCTTTGTATTCACACCCACTGATTGCACTAAAGGTTGCTGCTGGAAACTTGCCCTTGCTGGAAGCCGTTGAAATTGCAGCTGCATTTTCTTCTTTGTCATTCGGAATTGGGTATTTCGGAAGCTCATTGGAGAAGCCCAAGGTATCATCATATGACTTATTTCCTTTCAGACTTTTTCTTGTTTTGTTAGAAAAGAAAAGAAAACTACAACGAAAAGGAAATGAGAGGAAAAAAATACTACTCCCTCCGTCCCAAAAAGAGTTGCATGTTGTTGTTTACGAAGTTTGGCTGAAGTTATTTTCAGCTCAACTTATTTGAAAATAGGCAAGGGATTAAAAATAAAATTTATATATTTAAAAACTACATTAAAAAAATCTACAAAACAAAAGCTGACAAGACTATTATTTTCTCAAATGGGTTGCGAAAATAGGTCAAGAACGTAGTTAAAGTTTGACTTAAATTGGGAAGGAGGGGTAAGCGAGAAAACAAGTTTCCTCCCAAACATAGCATTAGGGAAACAAAGAGATTGTTGTGTTTCATGGGTAATAGTTGCGCTTATGTTTGTATTGTTCAAACACGCGGATATCTATCTGATTCATCTTCCTCCCATGACCACACCTTCATCAACAGGTTTCTATCCTTAGAAGCTCAAAGAAGCATAGCAGAAATGGGTTAAATGAGTTTGCAGCGCGAATCAAACTCCTACCGTAGATCTGTTTTTACTCATTCTGCAGGCGAATTGCTGTTTGCTGCAAACAAAAATCTATAGGTTTTGGAGTGAAATGTGCAACTCAGGTATTGAGATGATATGGGAACTGTAATCAGGGTGTTGCTAAATCCACTCCCATTTCAACTAAATCCCTCCCTATTATGTTAAATGTACAAGTTTGCCCTTAGAAATTGACTTGGATGGAAATCATCTCTTTTGTATTTTTAAGGGTAAAGTCGTCAGTTTAACATAAAAAGAGTGGATTTAGCGGAATTGGGAATGTATACAGCAACTCTCTAATTATTACTTCCTCCATGTCCCATTTTATTTGTTGTATTATGTTAAATAATGTCCATTTTCTCATTATAGGAATCACAAATTATTCTCAGTTCACCTATTTTCCTTTACTTTTGACTCTAAAATTGGATTCATCCATATTACATTAATAAGATTGTGTGGCTTTTGCATTGAGGTCTAGTAACACCCTGTATAAAATAACTGGGCATGAATTTTCTTCTTACCACGTCTGTCATTTCCGTTTTTCGTGCCAAATATTTGAATAATTTATGTACTCCATATAAAAATATACAACGAATTAAAATATAAAACGTGCACTATAATATTAGTATCGAGAAATACTTCAAATAATTTTTGTTTATATATTTTACTTCACACTACGATAGTTTCCCACTCATTCAGTCGTGTTGCAAGGGGGTTTTGTTTACCAATGCCCGAAGCTATGGTCATAACTCAGCATAGAGTGACCATAGAAGTGAATCTATAGGGACCAAAACTACCAACAAAACCACTCAGTATATTTTTCACATCTATTTACATAACTCCACATAGAGTGATCATAGTGTGCGAGAAATAAAATATTGGATTATTTTATTTTTTGTTTTGGGAGAAATAAAATATTGGATTATCGAAAAATAATTAAGAGTATTGCTCGAGAAAGAAGTTGCAATACCAAAAAATGTAATGAGTTATAAAATTAATTAGTGCCGTTTTGGAGAAAAATAATATTGTGCCATTTTTACAACTTTTAAATTATTATTTTGGTGAAAAAATTTGTGCTGAAGTTTTGAAAAAAATCACAAGTTAGGTAATTTCATTTTAGAAAAAATAATACGGGTAATAGAAGATTTTCAATAAATATTTTGGAGTGTTGTTCATGAGAATTTAGCTAAAATAATCTCACCTTTCATTTATTTGTGAAAAATATGCATTTCCAAACATTTCATTAAGTGCCCGTTAGCTTTTTAACGGCGATTCAAAAACTCGCACACATGCAAAAATGTGGGATTATTTCGGGCGACAGTGAAAAGTGAAACTTATTTTAAAAGAATGCAAAAATATGTATCAAGTGTGTAGTGATAACCAACAACGTCCTTTGCAAAAAGAAGCATGCATTCGAGTGTAAAACTTATACTCCGTACATACTTATACATACCACGAAATAATTTTAACTTTAAAGCATATTATATGGGTTTCATATAATACGAAGTTTGACTAAACTTATTTTCAATTCAATTTATTTAAAAATTGATAAGGAATTAAAAAATAAAATTTATAAATTTAAAAAAATACACTAAATGTTTTACAAAACCAGAGGTGATGAGACTATATTATTTTGCCAAATGGGTAGCAAAAATGGTTTGAAAACGTGGTTAAAGTTCGACCTAGTGAATACTAAACATGACCTAGTGAATACTAAACATGCAACTCAAACTAGGACGGATGCAGCAAAATTTTCTTAGAATAAAGGCAAGCAGTAATATTTTTATTAATGAAAAATAACAAAAAAATATCATGTACATTATTACAAAACTATTTGGGATTACAGAGAAACTGACAAGAATCATATCGTGCAAAACAGATTTGCACAATCAAACTCAATAAAATCCCCCCAAAAAAGTAAGGTCTAATAGCACATATGTGTAGACCTGACCCCGGGGTAAAGAGGCCATTTCCAAACATTAGCACAAGAAATGAAAGTGTCCTCAAATTTCCCAACGTAGATATGGAAATGTTTTTCAAATTTCCCATATGCATTTGAGTCCTGAATAATTACTTCACTGAGCAAAGAACTTTTAGTTTTACCCAAATGAAGAACTTTTACTTGCACTTACCGTTAGAAGTAAAACCGGTGCAGACAATGAAAGTCAAAAATCAAGAGAAGTTGTGAATCCGTTTGGCCGATGTGAGGGTGTTGGAAAGAAGCATTGCGATAGTCATGGGTCCAACTCCTCCCGGAACTGGAGTTATTGCCGATGCAACCTTTCTGGCTTCCTCATAACAAACATCCCCCACTAGGCGATATCCACGGGGATTTGTAGTGTCCTGTCATATCACCCACAAGGTTGATTATGTAGGTTTTGTTTACTAGTCTTATTCTACTTATACAGCAACAACAACAAATCCTGTAAAATCCCACAAGTAGGGTCTAGGGAGAGTGTGTGTTGGTAGACCTTACCCTTACTTGGTAGTAGAAAGGCTATTTCAAAGACCCCCCAGGCTTAAACATAGAAGCATAGGCAAACAATAGCCGACCTTACCCGTACTTGGCTTATTGTACTTATAAGTAGAATAAAAGTCTGCTTAGTAGCAAAGTGTGACTTATTCTACTTATCTTGTTCATATAACTTAGGGTTGACAGTCTAATCCTTACCCAATGGATATCCGAAATACCTGACTCGGTAAAATGGATGAAAACTTGATAAAACCTAGTTTTTATGGAAATTGATTTACCAAAAGTTGTTCTTAACCAAAAGCTTTTCATTAAAAAAATCAGCAAATCCAATCATATCTGCTGAATCACCAAACGGCTATTTGACTTGTTCGGCTGAAATGGATGTCACCGAATGTCTTTCCTTTAAGAAAAGCCAGCAGATTAAGGCACAATTTGAGCCAAATTCCTTTTGACTAACAGGCCTCTAATGTAATGAGTTGGAATAATTTTCATAAAATGACAATTGATAGTGCATTCGTGTGGGCTGTTGGAGTGACATGTGCAGGACTGAAAATGAGATTCAAAAGAAGAAGAAGAAGAAAAAGAAGAAGAAGAAGCTTTCACACCTCAACAGGATTAATGCCAACATCAATGATAACTGCACCAGGCTTGATCCAGCTACCCCTGACCATGTTTGGTTGCCCAGCAGCTGAAATGATGATATCTGCTTGTTTTATAATTTCCTCGGGCTTCTTTGTTCTAGAATGTACAATACTGACAGTAGCATCCTCCCTCTACGAATGGAAACAAATATAGAACACGATTATTACAATCCAAAAAGTACAAAACTGAATCGCTATAATATAATTGAAGAATGTTTTGGGAGTATGAAGTTCACTAAAGGCCTACTCGGATCCCGGAAAATACTAGTAAGTGAAAAAAGTCTTTGAAAATAGTATTGGCGCCGGGGGGAGGGGCGGGGGTCAAGATGTATGCAACCTTACCCTTCATTTACGGAGTAAGAAACAAAGGAAGTTAATTGTTCCATTTTGATTTAATCCATTATGTATCTGAAGATAAAACTGATTAATGACTCCTTTAGCTCCATTGACAATGGAAGGAAAAACTAAATAAAACAATTTTGAAAATAAATTAAATAAATTTTATTATGCGTATGTTTGANCAGATTCTAAATGAAACGATTGTGGATGGGCATTATATAACAACAACAATCAATCCAGTATAATCCCAGCTTTGTTGGGGTCTGGGGGATCACGATATTCCATATTCACAACATAGAGAGACATTATTTTTATTTATTTATTACTTGGAGAAGAAGAGCAGTGGGCATTCCAACAATGTTACTCCTGCCAATGACAACAGCTCTCTTCCCTTTGATTTCAACGCCATACCTATGCAGCAGCTCAATACATCCCTTCGGAGTACATGGAACAAATAACGGCTCCCTGCCCCGCATGGCGAGTCGCCCAATGTTTAGTGGGTGGAATCCATCAACATCCTTCTCAAGGCAAACAGCATTCAATATGTTCTGCTCATTCATATGCTGGTACACATATGGTGAAAAGATACAAGTTGCATTTTAGATACAGCTCAATACACTCGAACTAAATACTGAGATAAACAAACACATAGTTCGCAATCCATCCAAGTCGGGCTAGATAAATTAAGGCGTGGATTAATAGGGTCAAAACTCCAATACCAAGTTAAATTGGGACAAACTCCACAAAAATGATCCTCAAGACTCAAGGCTTAGGCTTACTTCACGAAAATAAGTTTTGTAAAAAAATTGCATCAAACCAAAACAAATATTCACGTAATGGAGATAATCAGTTAACAGTTTACCGCAGGTAGAGGCAACTGGACAAGAATACCATGAACGGAGGGATCATCATTGAACCTGGAGATATGGTTAAGCACTTCCTCTTCCGTTGTATCATCAGGCAAACACACCTCAAATGAATGGATCCCCACGCCTTCACATGCTTTTTTCTTGTTGCGAACATAAGTTGCAGAATCCTTCCTGTCCCCAACCAGAATGACCGCCAGACCAGGGACAACACCAATAGAATCCTTCATCCTAGATACTTCAGCACTAATTTCGTCTCGGATTTCTTTTGCAACCTTTTTTCCGTCAATAACCTCAGAAGAGGATTCGGAGGTCACAGAGTCTATAATAGATTCATATGGCAAACTGTAAGAGGCAAAACAAAGTCTAGACACTTTTGGATGAGCAAATAGTTCAAAGAAATGCAAGACATAGAAACTGAGAAGTTCTTGAAATTCCACATTCCTTTTTCCGTAAATAACAAGACTTCAATTAACTAAAGATTTTAACTTTAGTAATTGAGGGTCTTAACTCTTAAGGGTGTGTTTTTGGATGGAAGGTTTAGGAAGAGATGGGTTGGAAGGGACAGGTCTATAATCTTGAAAGAATAACATAATAGATGATCAACATCTGAATTATCATTTATTTGTGTTTTTAGAAACATTCATTTATTCCTATTCCTCCATGTCATACCATACCCTCCATCTAAACACACCCTAAGGATATGCTAGACACTGTGAACAAATGTTTGGTTTTGAAGTTTTATCTTATTAGTAATAATAACAATTAACAAGATGCTAATTAAATACAGGCTTACACTTCAGAATACTTATTGACCCTAAATACTCTTCAAATCAAGTTTCTTAAGGAGTATTCAATAAGACATTGCATTCAGAGATTAATCAAAATTTCATTTCAAATGCCAAATGATTAGAAATCGTAGTCGTCTTGGTAGTAGTAGTAGTAACAACAATAATAGTACCAGTAACACTGCAGATTTAAAGATAAATAAAAATGTGTGTAGATTTACTATATTTACCAGTAAGAGCTGAATAGCAGCATACAGCAGCGGCGGTGGAGTTCGAAGTGAAAGGAGTTGAAACTATGTAAGCGGCGGCGGCGGTCCTTGGGCGTGATGTGGAGCCACGGCGGAAATGAAGGTGGCCGGGCTTGCAGAACGGAAGGAATCGGGTTGCGGCCACGGAAGTGGATGAGGAAGACGAAGAGGAATCGGATAACCTCGCCTTCATAAGCGCCGCCACAGACGACGCCGTGGATGCGGCCATTCTTCTGCGAGCAACGGCGATGAGGCGAGAGAGATGATGCCTGGGGATAAAACCTATGCTTGCAAGCTTTTTTGCCGTGATAGCAAACCAGTTAATCACCGGCCTGCAGCCGCCCGCCGCCGCCCGCTCCCGTCTTTCAGTTCATACTATACGCGAGACTGGGCCGTATTGACCCGCTAGTTGAGTGTCTTTTGGTTGGGCCGATCTCGCTTTTGTTATTAAGGTAAAAGCCGCTCTTGGGCCCTCATTAAACTTAGCCCATTTGAAATTAAAAAAATCATACTACATATGAGTAAAAACATAAACAAAATATTAAGATAAGAGTTTCATCTTGTTATTCATTAAATATGATTTTGCAATGTGATAATGTGATACTATACATGAACATTTTATTACTCCTTTTTTTGGTAATGTACATGGTCATTATTGATAATATCAAATGTTTTTTAACTCTTATTTCGAAAAAAATACAGAGTAATATGAAACTCCTATTTTGGAATATTTTCAATATTTTACTCCTATTTTAATCTTTTTTCCTTGAAATTGCAATTGTCATTAAAAAAAGAGTTAAATAAATTGAGGATGCCAAACAAGAGAACAATGCAGGGAGGATGTGCATTTGAGGAGACAATTAAGTTTGTTCATTTCTACTTGAACTGTTATCTTAAGAATTAAATAAATTGAGGTGTAAAGTGTAATCTCATATTGTCTAGCTAAATAAGACTAAAACTTAAGAATTATACAAAAATAAGACTTCACGTGTGTTTATCTCTTAAATAGAAATATTAGCACCGAAATGCTACAAAATGACATTGTATATCGACATTTCTTAGCATTTTCTGACATTACAAGCTAATATTATTTGGCATTATAAATATTATTTTTCTAAATAAACAAATTGATAATCATATTTTCGTAAATGAAACATGTTTTAAATCCTATAATTAGCTTTCTGACATTTATAGAAAAAGCAATTCGAGTCATGTTCGAGAATTGAAAATATCATAAAAAATAAAAAAAATGAATTATGTTTCGTACCAGAGGGGGACTTATCCCTGTATAGAGTTGGAACTTTTTACAATAATGCCAAAAAAAATCAATCAAAAGAATCGTCCTATCCAAACTACTGTAAATACAACCAGACAAAATGGAAATTAAAACAAATTTATTCAACTTTAAAATTAATTCAATAAATTCCGATGGAAATCTCATGTGGAGACTGGAGAGCAATGGCCTAAAAGAATGCCCCTTCCAAAAAAACAGGACCAATTTATAATAATGGGATAAGAGTAAAACTAACAAAAAAAAGGCTATACAGTTTCCCAAAATGAATGAATGAATGAATGTATCATTCTCTTCTTCTTCTTCCTCCAGGCCAGTTGCAGCAGCATTATATCGCGAGGGGCGCTTCTTCACTCTCAGGTGAAGAGTCTAAGTGTGGGGCCTGTTCTTTGGGTTTGTTAACCACTCGGGAAAATCCGTACCCGAGAGAGCCCCCGCTTGTTTCACACAACTACAAAAGAAAAAGCTAGCATTAGCTTCCTAAATTCGTTCTCGCTACTCACTTTATTTACTTTTAAAGTAATAAAAAATGTGACTCACGTCTAAAACAAAATCTAACGATACATTTTTCACTTATCAACACTTTTCTTAAACATTGTGAAAGTCATATCGTCAAGATCTTTTGGGACAAAGGGAGTATAATGTTGTTGAAAACAGCTACTCTTGAGTAGGGGTAAGATCTACGTATGCACACCCTCCTCAGACTCTATGTTTATTGAGATTTGGTTTGTTATTGTTGTTGTATGGAGAATAATGTTTTTGGGATATTGTCTCCATTCCACAATAACTGTCTATTAAGGATTATTATATACATTAGCTTTTGAATGAATGTAGACTTAAATACGTCTACGTTCATTCAAAATCTAATGTATATAATAATCTTGAATACGCAGTTATTGTGGAATTGAGAGAATAATTCAGGAGAATCGGCTGATACAGCCATCGAGCTACATTATACCTCAGTTAGCTCAGATAGGTGGCGGGACCTGAACTCATTAATCGTTGCTGCTATCTCTGACATTGGCAGTTTAGCCTGAACCCAATAGAAAATAAATAAATGTATAAAATCATACATAGCTAGCTGAAGGTATTAGTGTGCATGGTGGGTGGGATTGGGGGCAGAGAGTGTTTGATATGCCAAAGTGTAGCATACTTACTTCAACTAGGACAGCCGCCGCCAACTGCAAACTTGGTTCCAAGGTCTCTGGGACAACCTATGACATTACAAATTCACAATGTTGTCAGAACAAACAAACAACAACCCAATTGGATCCCACGAGAGTTGGGTCAGGTGAATGTTTTGAGAACATTGGATGTAATATTATATGGAAAATTTTCAACTTTTGGTCTCACGACTTTAAGGTCATTTCCACTTTCAGTTTCAGACATTTGCTTTTTTCTACTTGGCACGCGATTATAGAGTCCTTGCCACTTTTTATCCTGATCACTTATCCAGCCAAACCCCATTCAATTTTGTGTGGATTTTTTCTGGACAAATGAACGGAAAGAATAGAAAGTGATGGGAAGTCCAAAGTCATGCACAAATGCAGAAAAAAAATTAAAGACTGGACCAGAAATGAGAACAAACTAGTAGTCATGGGACCAAAAGTGGAAAATTTTGCAAAGATCATTGTCAAGGGAAGTACCGCTGTTGCTCCAGCCTTTTCCAAGTTTATGCCATGGTCAACGTCATGCGCGCGTACAAATGTTTTCACATTAGGAAAATACTTGTTCAGGGCCCACACAGTTCTGTAATTCGCACCAGGGGTATCCAATGTAATTGCAGCAGCGCAAGCTCTATCAGCACCTACTTTATGGAGAACCTATAGAAGCATAAAGTATAAACAATATAAATAAGCATTGAACTCTCTAACAGCTGTGTTCCCAGCTCCACAGAACACATGAAATAGGTTTTCAATAAGAAATACCTCCCGGCTTCCAGCATCACCAAAGAATACAGGAAGATCAAGTGCACGTCCAACTGCAACCCGATCACTGAAATATAGAAATAATAGAAGTTTAGGCAGAATTAAAAAAATATGAACAATGTTTCTTTTGATAACTCGGAGGGGGGGGGGGTTGGGCTTTGCCCGACTAATCCCAAAACCTAAGGCTTCAGTCAATAAAGAGAGCATATGCTGCACAATGTGGGCCTCGCCTAGGAGATTACACCACACAAAGGGCTCCTCCCCAACTTTGAACCCACAAGAATCTTCCCTCCCTTAGAGCTAAATACCTCGCGAGAGGCCTATAAACGATGTTTTTGAAACTGTTGGGCTGTTGATACACACAGTATAGATATGCATGCCATTCATACTAACATGTTTTCATATAATTAATTGAATAACTGGATTTTCAATTAAAGTGCAACGGCTGTAAATGATTTTTTTTACAAGTAAAAAAACAGAAGCATACTTATGAGCATGTAAAATGTAAAAATGAACATATCAAAGTTACCTTCTCACATCAAGTGCAACAAATGGAATCAGTCTTTCAGAAAGAAGTTGGGCAATTATCTGTTGTGAAAAAAAAGGTAAAGGGCAAAGAAAATGATTTCATGACTGGCATTTAGTTTGTCATTTTAAAGCTAAAAAGATTTTTGAACTAAGATGGTAGTGCTAGACCTGACCAACACGTCCAAACCCACAAATAATAATATGATCTTGCAAATCATCAGTCTGGAAAAAGTGCAAAGAGAACTTATAAGTTAGAAAAAACAGGTAACAAACTTCGAATATCTTCGAACAAACTGCAAACAGAACTTAGAAAAAACCGACCGATATAGAACTAGACCAAGTTATCATCAACAAGTGAAGGTTAGAAGCTTGACCTCACTTTCCACAGGTAACAAACTTCGAACATCTTGAAGCTCGAAATGAGAAGCTATTAGTTGGCCTCCGGCCGCCAACCATGGTGTGATGGCCATTGAAATTCCCACCACAAGAAATAACAGAGATGACAGACGAGAAGACAGTATACCCTGGTAAAATTCAAATAAGCAAAAATAGAATCTACTCAGTAGGTCCATTTGGGGTTTTTTATTGTTCTCTATCACCCTGTTTACATCATCACATGTAAAGAACATGAATAAAAAATAATTTTATGGATCAACAGCTACTAGCCTACAAATATGGTTTGCATTTCAAATGTAAGCAATCATTATGTCATGACAAATTTTCTTCATCTGTTTGAGAGAATCATTTTAGAACATGAGTAGAGCCAGTGTCTGAGACAAAGACCTGTTATATTCCAAATACTCACCCTAGATTGAATAATAGAGAGAAGTAATATAAATGCAGCATATCTAGAATATACTCCCTTCGTCCCAGAATGAAACTGACACTTTGACTTCACGAAGTTTAAGAAAAGGGAGAAAAAAGTTGTAAGCCACATTTTCATTTCAAAAAAGGGAAGTTGGAGAAGTGTAAAGTGTATCATGTGAAGGACAACAAAGGAAGTGTAAAGTTCATTTTTGGACGGAGGAAGTAATAGATTCTGCAATCAAGTGGTCAGCTGAAAAAATAGTTAAAAAGAAACCCCAATACACAATATGCGGTTTAAATTTTATGAAAGTTGTGAACAGAAATAGGAGGTGAAGTAGTTAACCTGATTAACAGCCTCACCGAAGGCAACAAATGCAAATTCTCCACCTGGAGCCAGTAGCAGACCAACTCTTATGGCAGATACAATGGAAATGCCAAAAAGTCGACCAACTAAAGCAACCAAAATTGTTTTGCCAACAATCAGAAGGGATAGTGCCCCCATAATAATTGGAAAGTTTGATAAAAGAAGCTTGGGATCAATAGACATTCCAACCTGAAAGCAAAGTCAAATGGTCATGATTTATAGTTACGAAAAGAAATAATACTTACACTATCACATACACAATGAAAATATTTTGGTGGAGAATAAACTGGTTGAAGTATATGAAAGAGGTTCACATCGCAGTGGCAGGAAATGTATCATCACGCAAAAAAAAACAATTGTTATTCCATTTAATGTATTTAACTACAAACATAAAATCTAATAGGGTAATAGCTCAAAGGCACATAAGTGAACTGC